GTTATTGAGCGTTGTGAGATGAACATCTGTCTTGAGTTAGTGACCGCATACACGTTTAAGCGCCCTTCGACAGAAATGTATAAAATAAATGATTTCGTATCTTCCTGTCAGTACATTTTGTATCTCCGACATTACTGAAAGAATTTTGATTAAATATGGGAGTTCTCTTATGGCGAGTAGATAAGAATGTGTAAGGCGTCTATCGTGTTTAATTTTTAGCGCAGTATCTCTGCACTAGGCTGGACAGACTAAGGAAAACCACGAAGATTCTCAGGTATTATAGTCGATAACCTAGCCGAGGTTTGAAGCCGTTACCTGCTGAAAACATGTCTAGACCGTCATTACAACACCGACCTGTTCGTTAACAGATCTCAACTCTGTGAGGCGTAGTGGTAACTATAAGTACCACTACTCTAACATTCGATAGCTTTGTATGTTATCCACACAGTGTACCTAAGAGTTTGGTATTATTGTCAGAATAAACAGAGATTATTTCCTTAAACGATATTAACTATCTGACCTTCATAATGGTGACGGGTTTGTTTACTTTGTAGTAGGAACTACATTGTCGAACATTATTCAGATTAGCTTCGTGTTGTAGGAGATTGCAGCGTTTTGTCGATATGAGAAGAATTTTAACTTCGTGTAAAGCAATATCCGAAGTTCAACATGGTTACCTCCAGAGCCCGCCACTGGACACGATCCAGAGCTTGATTGCATCCGCGTCCCATTTTCACAGCGAACTTCTTCGTGTGTCTTATAGGCTCGTCGTCTCCTAGTAGTGACCAGATACACAGAACGGCTAGAAACACGCAGAAGGGATACATTCTAATATAATTTCACTTACCTGTTTGGTGGCGAAGATATTGTTTGCCACTATCAGCGGCTCCGGCCTCCCTCGAATGCACTGCAAGACAGGCCTCCTTAGTGTTTTGCCAAGGCAACAAATATGTAACGTTCTTGACTGAAACAAAAAAATAATATTAAAGAGGTTACCGCAGTATTTTATCATACAGAGTGTCGCAGTATCACGATAATGTAAGCAGCCCACACATACACACAAGAGAGTTGCATGGCGTTCGCGGACTGCGGGTTGAAAACCCCTGCAATGAGGCATAACGCACCAATGGTGAATGTTTTGTATTTGTCTCTAAAAAGATCAGAAACTGAAGGTACAAAAACACTTCATGCTTGTGCGGTTAATTATACGTTGCAAAATAGATTGCACCCACAAAGGGTGACGGTATTACTGTCGCGGTAGGCAGACCCGCTCGTCCCTGTCACCGCAATTTCATGCTCTGTTCACATGGCCGGTCCTGGAGTCGAACTGCAGACAAACTCTAAATAAAGTCTGAATTGTAGATCAGAATCTCTAAGCGCAAATGACTAAAATGGCGACTTTGGTCTTCTGGGTAATAACGCTGTGTAGAATTCTATGTAGGTACTGTTTCGGAGGAACATGTCGTATCCATCTTCAGAGCCGATGAAAGCTCAAATCTCATTTTAATAAGACGCTTCTGTCTTTTTCTTAAGATTATAATAGAACAGCTACTGCGCAAGACAGAAATTTTCTTAGACTGATATATTTTAATATTTAGAGTGTTTAATAGGAGCAGATTACATATTACTTTAATCAGAATTTTTTCCAGATTATGTATTGTAATGCTGTAGGGTTGTGTAATGTACGAGGAAAAGATGGGCTGGTCATGTAGCTCAGGCGTGGAATTCACTTGAGTTTTTAAAATTCTATTACTTTCGCCAGTGATTTATTACATTAACGTGTTCTTTTACCAGTTACTAATGCTTATTATTATTATTGTACACACATTTACCAGTTACTAATGCTTATTATTATTGTACACACACGTCCATACAAAAAGATATTTTTTATTATTTATTTAGTGTTCTGTCTGACGACAGGTCCATATGAACAGGATCCCAGTAAATTTAAAGCTTCTCGAGTAAGGAAATTTTTATTACCTCACTGTATGGATGTGTCGTAAGATGTATGAAAAAGCATAAATCATTTTTAGTAGGCCTTCGTCTCCTTTGCCGGAATCGATTATCAGTGTCCTGCTAGAACTCCTCACCTGTGCAAATATGTTGGTTTCGTGTTATTGTCAAGTGTCTACTTTGCAGTATTAACCCTCTCAGACCTTAAACATACAATCAGCTAGCCATGACATTGTGCGTCTCCCATCATGAAATGAGTATGACGTGATTTCATTTGCGTTCAAACATGCAGATTTATGACTAATTAACTAAACATTGTAGAGTTCTCCTTGAGAACTGACAATCAAGAAATCTCATCCCACGATGGGACCCGAGGGACTGAACGCAACGAAGTTACTTTAAATGTTATCACGCTAAAAGGAGCAGAAGATGAAAAAAGTGTGGATATAGGAGGATAAAGTAAAGAATTGGGATGGTGAGAGGGAAGAAATGTACAAGAATAAGGAGGAGAAAACAGAAAAAATAAAGTCTTATAATTAACTTAATTCTGAGAATCTGAGCTTGGAATTGGCATGCCCTGTGCTCAAACAGGATCTGTCTTTAAGGCCATTAGAACTGATAACTTTTTGACACTTGGTTTAGGTTTGTTTGACGACTGTTCATGAACTGCATCGAAATTGGGATCGCTCTATTACAAAACAGTTAGGTTAAGTCTTTTGCAATAAATTTATCTTTTCTTTTAATGAAGCACTGCGCTCTCTGTTCCAGTATTACTGAATACTGAAACGACCCGTTCTTCAAGTGCCTGAGCACTGCGGGTCCCAACTTTTCGTTGGCTTTGATCTATAGACATTTTTGGTAGGACTCCTTGGACGAGGGATCGGCCCTTCGCAAGGCCTCTACCTGTACACAGGACAGCACAACACAGAAAAACGCGGACAAACATCCGTGGCTTGAATGGGATTCGAACCCACGGTCGCAGTGACCAAGTGGGCTTTAAATGGCTGAATATCCCCAGCTGAATGACGTCCTGTGTGTGGGTGTGAAAAATCTTACAGCATTTTATTCCAAATTGTTTCTGAAGGTAAATACAAGATTCAGAGAACAGACAGACCAAACTGA